TAGAAGCTATTTGTCAGACAGAGAAAGAGAAACACTATATGATTTCACTTATATGCCGAATTTAAAGAATAAAAAGAAGAAACTACCCAAAAACAGACTCACAAATACAGTGCACAATTTGGTGTGGACAGAGGGGAAAGGGGTTTCGGGGGCTGGGAGAATTGGGCAAAGGGCTAAAGAAGTACAAATTAGTAGCTGATGGATGGTCATGGGGATGGGGAGCATGGCATTGGGAATGCAGTTAGCATTAATACGTTGGCTAGGTGGAGGGTCAGGGGGAGGGAGGGTGCAACTGGGAGGATCATTTTACGAACTATATAGATGTCTAACCAATGTACTGTATACTTGAAACTAAATTTAAAAAATTATGTGAAACCTAAAAAAGGTACAAAAATCATGAAATTAAGAACTACTTTAACCACCAAATGAAAAATTTTTAAATATTAAAACTGTAAATACATACCCTATTTCTAGGGAAATAATTATAAAAATCATATGGAAGAATCAAGAGGCAATAACAGCCAAGACATTTTTAAAAAATGAAGATTTAAACTAAACTATATTAAAATGTCTAAAATATAGTAATTAAAATAATGTGAGACTAAAGAATGGTAGTAAACTTCAATCGATAGTTGTAAGACCTTCAAATTTTTCAAAAATAATTGGAAGTCTAGATTTTTTAAAGTGAAATCTCTCATGTTTCTCTGTTGGCTTAAATATATGAAAGCATTGTATATATTTCCAAAGAAAGTATTTCTGTGGGCTAAAGCAGCCACAGTGGACTTCAGCCCTATACACACCCAGCACTTCCTGCCTCACCCTGAGCTCAAGCTGCTTCCTTTGTCTAGACAGCCCTTTCCTCTCCCTCCACCCATTCAAAAGTAACCCACCCAAAAATGTGTGGTTCATAGGCCATCCCCCTACAGAGCATTCTTAGAACCTCTAGTAGGAATTACCATTACTTTCCCTCTACTACAAAGATTATAGTTCTTATCACAGTTTAACTTTAGAAGTTATCCAATGAGTTCTATCTTTTCCTCTAGATGAGAGAGTAGAAACAATGTCTAAAAATAATACTTGCTACTATCTATTGGTCATACTCTGTGCCAAGTACAGTGATGATGCTTTGCACACAGCTTCTGTAATCCTCTCAACAAAGGCAAAATAGATATTGTCATTTTACAAATACGTAGTGGAGAGTTAAATAACTAACCAGGCCCAGGGAGAAAGAATTTTAATTATTTTTGCTAAATTTCACTAACCATATCACAGTTGATCTGAATTAAATTGAATTTACTTGGGATTTTCCTTTGAAGGGAGGTCAGTGGAGTGAGAGAGATGGCTACAGTAAGAAGGAGTCTGAGACTTGTAATGATTCAGGGGCTTGTAATCTAGAAATAGGATATAAGTATCACATGAAGCTCAAGAAACTAACTACCAAGCATTCTAATTCTGTATTTGAGATTGACTTCTAAAACATAATTTGTACCCAAAATTACCTTTTGCCTTAGCAAATTTTATTGATTCAGTTGAACTCTATGTACTCAGTGGGGGGTGGGGGGGGGGAGAGAAAAGAACTCATAAAAGCTGTACCACAGTATGAAAGAAAGTTTGAGTTGTAAGACTTAAGACATCTTCTAAAATATCATTAATATTATTTTCATTTTAAGTTCAGTATAAAGTTTTTATAATACCTACTCTGTCACTGTTTTGGAGGAACTAAAAAAATAAGTCATCTTTGAGATACTCCCTATACTAGCTTACCTTAAGAGAACTAAAAAGAATCCTAAAACAATTTGTTGACAATTTCTAAAGCTATAATCATTCTAAGACACTGAACGAGCTATGAGTGAAAAAACAGATGTCATTTCACTCTCATGAGAATAGCTATTACTTTTTTAAATCCAGAAAATAACAAGCATTAGCCAGTATGTAGACAAATTGGAACCCTTATACATTGCTGGTAGGAATGCAAAATGGTGCAGGTGCAATGGCAAACAGCAATTACCAAAAAATTAAACACAGAATTACAATAATATACAGCAATTCCATTTCTGGTTATATACTCAAAAGAATTTAAAGCAGAGACTCAAGAGACATTTGTACACCCATGCTCATGTTGTATAGAAATACAATGTAACATTACTCAGCCTTAAAAAAAGATCTTGACACATGCTACAGCATGGATGAACTTTGAGGACATTATGCTAAGTGAAATAAGCCAGATACAAAAAAGGCAATCTCTAGTTCTACTTATATGAGGTGTCTAAAATGGTCAAAGTCAAAGAAATAGAAAGTAGCATGGTGGTTGCTAGGGGACAGGGTGAGGGGAATGGGGAGTTTAATGGGTATAGAGCTTCTGTTTTGCAAGATGAAAAAGTTCTGGAAATCTGTGGCATGACACTGTGAATGTACTTAACATTACTGAACTGTAAATTTTAAAATGGTTAAGATGGTATGTTATATTACTTAATATTTAGACATTTTAAAATAATGAAAAATAAATTTTAAAAATTTAATAAAGATAAAATATGATAATGCAGAACTCAATAAACTACTCTTTGAATTAACTAAATTTAACAGTAAAAAATGTTATAACAAAATAATTTAAAACAAATCAATAAACACAATTTAAGAGATGAAAAACAGAATATCACATTCCTTAACAGAGAAGATATTTCAAATACCTACAGAACAATTGTAAAAATAAACCATATACTTAAATAGAAAAAATTATAATGATTTACAAATTAGAATGTTTTACAAGTTAGTTTCTGAATATAAATCATAATTGAAATGTAAGTACAAAATTAAAAACAAATAGTTAATACTCAAAAATTTGAAAACACATTCCTAGAATTTCTCAAAGAAACCAATAATAAAGTTGCAAACTAAATTACAATAATGAAATTATGAAATACAATTATAAACTATAAAAATTAGAAACAATTAAAAAAGGGAATAATTCCTCCACAAAAACATACAAAATATATCAAAGGGTATATTCAGAATACTTCTAACTTCAATGTTTTCATTGTCAAAAGAGACTTTTTAAAAAGAACTTTAAAAAAAGAGGATAGAGGATTGAGGAAACATTAGCTAAAAGTCAGGAAAGAAAACAAAGAAAAAACAAAGCAGAAATAATAAATCCAGAAGCTTTTTAATAAAAAAAATTATGATAAAACAGCAAAGTTAACGTGTGGAACATTTAACGAAAAACAGAAAAAAATACTATAAAAATAGACAATATTAGGAACAAGAAAGAAGACACACATGCATTATGGTAGAGATGTAACTGCTTATTAGAAAATACTGCATGTGATCCCGAGACAAATTTAAAAGCCCATAAAGCAAATGGAGAGAGATACAGAGATCATGGCTATAGATACCAGATTGGTGGTTGCCACAGGCACAGATGTCGGTGAAATGTGTGAAAGTGGTCAAAGGTAAGAATTTCCAGTTATAAGTCCTGGGCGTGTAATGTACAGCATGGTAACTAGAGTTAACATTACTGTATTGTATATATGTAAGTTGCTAAAAGAGTAAATCTTAAAAGTTCTCATCTCAAGAAAAGAAACTATTTTAACTATGTGTGATGATGGATGTTAACTAAACAATCAAATCATTATGTTGCACATCTAAAATTAATGCAATGTTGTATTTCAATTGTATCTCAATAAACAAAATTAAAAAAAAAAAAAAAAAAAAATGGGCAATTTCTCAGCCAAAACTTGATGCAAAAAGAAGCTAAAAACTTTAATGAATACAGAGAATTGGAAACATTATATATTACCTCTGGGGGGTGGGGGTGGGGCAGTGCATGTTCCAATGGTTCACATCTGAGTATTAGCCTTTAAGGAACTAGTTCCAATTAATCTCATGAAAAGATATGATCATTTTTCAAATTAATTTATGCATCCACCAAAATGTTTATACAAAAATCTGATTCAACACCAAGAAAAATATTAGAGACCAATCCCATTTGTGATTACAGATGTATATATTCTAATTACCATTCCAATTAATTAAAGAGTCAAAGTTATACAATAATAATAAATTATGAAAAAGCAGGATTTCTTCCCTAATGCAAGGATAGTTCAATATTAACAGATCTTTTGATGCAATGCTTTATAACAGTCAACTAAAGTAGGAAAAAAAGAGATAATTTATCAGTAGACAATTAAAAAAAAAACCCAAATCAAATTCACCTGGTATTCCAAAAAATTAAAAAGAAATCTAAGCACTTTTAAGCTAAAGAGATGTGGAAATAAAATCCTTATGTAAGATGAATACCCTACAAAATCATAATTTTGAAATCAAAGTGTTTAAGTCACACAGCAACCAGGTGACCTAGGCTCCAGTGGGTAATAAGCTCCTTCACAAAGAAATAGGACATTGCCTTTGGCTATGATGGAAAAAGAGTGAAACAGTCATAAAAGCAGATAAGAAACAGAAAGAAGAATGATGGTCGCCAGAGGTTCAGCGGAGGGGGAAATAGAGAGTTGTTCAAGGAGTATAGAGTTTCAGTTTTGCAAAGTAAAAACATCCGCAATCTGTTGCACAACGTGTAAAAATAGTTGACATTACTGAAGCATAGGTTTAAAAATAATTAAGATAATAAATTTTTGTTAAGTGCTTTTTATTGCAATAACTTTTTTAAATTTTTAAGCAGATTAAAAAAAAAAAACGCTAAAATTTTAACAAATTCTTAAAAGCTGGATGTGGGCTAGTAGAGTCACTTAGTATCCCAGGAAGCTCCTGATACAAGGACACTCCACATCCATTCACCTGCTCTTTTACACAAGCCTCCTCCAAGTGCTAAGATGAAAGACTTGGAAAAAGAACAGGAAACCTAAAGATTACCCCTTGGAAGTGATGACATGCAGGTAAGGGATCAGCTAACATCCCAGACTCAAGGAGGGAGGGAGAACTTTTGCCTATCCCTCTCCCCACGTTCAAATAGTAGCAGCTGCCAGGTAAGAGAATGAAATCACACATACCTGACTCTGCATTGAACACTAGGTAAAACTCGTCTGTTACAGGGATAAGGCAGGAAACTCACTCAGGTCCAGATTTCTACAACACAAAAAAGAGGCAGGCCATACTTATGGAGGAATAGGAAACTCACTGCAACTAAAGCCTGCCACAGATACAAAGCAGAGTTTGGCTACCACAGGAAGAAGGGATAGGCATGATGACAAAGCTGTAATTCAGCCTTAAGAACACCAGGTCTGCCTAAGACTGAAGCTGTTGCGGGGGAACTAGGACCCCACCACGTACCCATCCACAACTCCACCCAGACTGGAACAGAGACAAACACTTGTGTCATTTGAATTCAGTGCTGGGTAAAAGTTGAGGGTAAGCAGGAACACTGAGAAAAAAAACTCCGTGTCACTCCAAGTCTCACAGAAGTCTCAAGGTAAAAGTAATGCACTCCTGGAGGAACTTGAAGTCTCTAGTGATGTGAGAATTCAATAGCAACAACAAATCAATAACTCAAAACATCTGCTGACCAGATTGATTCATCTTACCTTTCCACAGACACTAACACCTTACAGAATAAGAGGCAAGTTCATTTCTTAGCATAATAATCTACATCAGTCTCTACCATTGTTTTATACATTATGTCATACAGTCAATCAAATATTACAAGACATAAAAACAAAGCAAGAAAATTGTCCATTGTCAAGGGATAAAGCTATCAACATAATCAGACCCTGAGATGGCGGCAATGTTGAAACTATCAAAGAGTCTTTAAAATAATTGTGATTAAAATGTAAAAGAATCTAAAGAAAAAATAGACAACATGCATAAACAGAAATTCATTGGAGGTGGAAATTTTTTAAAGTGATCTGAAAATGTTAGGCAAATAACTTTATATCAAAGATGAAGAATTCTTTACAGAGCTTACAAAAAACTGGACACAACACGTAAAATTAATAAACTTCACAGATCGACAGAAACCATTCAGACTGAAAACTGAATTGGGGAGGGGGGCATTCACAGAAGATTCAAGACTTAAGGGACAATATCAAGCAGACTAATGTAGTGGTCCAGGTAGAGGAAAGAAAAGGGTGCAGAAGAAATATTCAAAAAGATAATGGATGTAAACTTATGAAAAATTAGTTAGAACAATAAAAATCAAGGAAGCTTAGAGAACCCCAAGCAGTTTAATTACAAATGATAACACACCTATGCATATGATGGCTAAATTGCTGAAAACCAAAGTTAAAGAAAAAATCCTGAAGGCAGCTAGGGAAAAAGAGAAACATGACATATAAAAGAACAAAGATCAGAATGCCAAAAGACATCTCTTCAGAAAGTAAGTATGTAAGCTAAAGAATAACAAAGTAACATCTTTAAGTGGGGAGAAAACTGTCAACCTATAATTCAAAACTCTGCCAAAATATTTCAGAAACAAAGGCAAATAGACTTTTTCAGACAACCAAGAGCTGAGAAAAGTCACTGCCAGCAGACCTGCACTACAGGAAATATCAAAGAAATTCCTTTAGGCAAAAGTAATATGATACTACATGGAAATTTAGAACAGAGGAAAAAAGAACCCTGAAACTAGAAAAAACAGTAAAAATAAAAAATCGTTTTTTTCTGATTTGTAGTTCCTATTAAAGGACTCTTTAAAGAAAAAACAGTAACAAGGAAATGTATGGTTTATAACATGTACAAGTAAAATATATTAACAAAATAGCATAAACATTGGGAGAAAAAAAAACAGCATTATACCATCGTAAGAGTCTGACATCATAAAGGAAGTGGTATAATACTATTTGAAGACAGACTGTGAAAAATTATGGATGTAAACTGCAAACTTTAGAATACTAAAAATATAAAACAAAGAGATGTAATTAATGTCGATATTGAAGATAAAATACTGAAAAATAATCAAGCTCAAAGAGGGTAAGAAATGGGAAAATAAAAACAAAGAACACACGAGACAAAAAGAATACAAATAGCAAATTAGTAGGCAGAAACCCAATCATAAAAATATTTAATGTAAATAATCAAATTATTACAAATAAAAGTTGGAGACAATGAGATTGGATTTTAAAAAGTAACACCCAGTTATATCTTGTCTACAAGGGAAAAAGTGATTACATGATGATAAAAGAGTCAATTCACCAAGAAAAAATAATAATCCTAAATGAGTATGCATCTAATAACGGAACTTCAAAGCACATAAAGTAAAAACTGATAGAACTAAAAAGAGAATCAGATTAATTCATAATTGTACTTACATACTTAAACCCTCGTCTCCCAATAACAGAGAGAACAAGGAGACAAATCAGTTAACGACACAGATGACTTAAGAACATTATTAACCAATTTGGCTAATTGACATTTATAGAATATTCTACCCAACAATGGCAAAATACATTGTTTTCAATTGTACATGTAACATTCACTAATATAGACCATATTCTGAGTGATAAAACAAATCTCAAAAAATTTGTCAAGAATCAAAATCATACATCCTCTGAAAATCACAGAATTAAGCTAAAAACCAGTATCAGATACATGCAAAATATCCAAGTATTTGAATATTAAAAAACATAATTCTAAATAATCCAAAGTCAAAGAATAAATTACAAGGAAAATTAGAAAATATTTTTAACTGAATAAAAATTTAAAAGAACAGTGCTCAAAGTAAAATTTATAGTAAAAATTACATCTTCACATGAGAAAAGAAGGTCTCAAATCAATATTCTAAGCTTCCATCTGAAGAAACTAGAAGAACAAATTAAACCTGTGATAAGAAGAAAGGTAATAATAAAAATCAAGAATCAACAAATTAGAGAAAAATAAAATATTAAAGATATTAATGAAAACAAAAGCTGGTGTGTTTAAAACATCCATGAAATTGATAAACCTCTAACCAGAGTAATCAAGAAAAAAACAGAAAAGTTACAAGTCACCAATAACAGAAACAGAGTTTATCAGTGCAGATCCTACAAACTTTAAAAGAATAGAGAAATGTGAACTTTATGCTAATTCTGTAACTTAGATGAAAAATCCAAATTTCTTCAAAACTACAAACTAAGAAGTTTCATTCAAAAATTAATATATAACTTGAATAGCCCTATGTGTATTAAATAAATTGAATTTATAGTTTTAAGCCTTCCTACAAAAAAAAAAAAAAAAATACCTCTAAACACAGATGTATTCTCCGGTGAATTCTTCCACACTTCTAAGGAAGATATATTATCAATTATACACAAAGTATTCCAAAGAACAGAAGATGATCTGACACTCCTCAAGTCATTTTAGGAGGCTAAGAATACCCTGAAAGTAAAATCAGATACAGACATTAAAAGAATAAAAATTAAGACCACTATCCTCCATGAACATAGATTTCTTAAAAAAATTCTTAACTGAGTATTAGAAAATCAAATACAGCTATATATAGTAAGATAATAAATCAAGAACAAGTAAGAATTATACAAGCAATAGAAGTCTGATACAACATTCAAAAATCAAGTGATGCAATTAATTCACTATATCAACAGGCTAAAAAGGAAAATCATATTATCTCAGTAGATACAGAATAACCAAAAACCTATATTTAGAACTAAATTAAAGATGAAACCACTACAAATAAAGCATTAAAATCTTTTTGAAGTATAAAAAATAATATATGAACAAATAGAAATATATCCACATACTTGAATTGAGATGGTATAATTAATACACTAAAAATAACATTAAAATGTTAATCGTCCACAGATTATAACTTAATGTAATTAAAGTTAAAATCACAAGAGGGTTTTTATGCATTTTTTTTTTTTTTTTTTGCCCAGGGAAGGTGGGATGAGAATAAAATATTCATTAAATTTGAAATTTAGTTACATGTCTGAGAATATCTAAGAGAATTATTTTTTTAAAAAATCTGGTACCATAATAGAATATGAGAACATAGGATATGACAATTGTGAAATTTATATTTACTGGAAAAGGATATATTACCTTAAAAATGGTAATAATACAATGGACTAGCTATGCATCTGAAAGTAAATAAAAGAGGACCCTCTCTTATACCACATACAAATGGACTAAAGATAGGACCAAAGTAGAAAGAAAAATTAAATCTAAGTGTAGGAGATTACATGTCTATTTTATCAATGACAAACCCTTAAAAAATAAAAGAAAAACGAAAGAGAAAAAATCAATTATATAAAAATTTAAAATGTATAAGATACCATTTGAACAGATAAGAGACAAAAGATTCATTTCGGAAAAAATTATTTGCAATGCAGATGTCAGAAAAATGGTTATAGTTGTAATATATAAAGAACTGCCACAAAAGGACAAAAATCAAATAGAAAAATGGACAATGACAGGGCAATTCTTAGAACAATTCCAGTTGACCTACAAACACAGGAAAAGAGCCGTTCAAGGTCACTACCAGTTGGGAAATAATATTTTAATGTAACAGTAAGTTACCACCACACAACAATCAGACTGGAAAAGGGTCAACTACCGCTCATGGAGTTTCAGAGAAAGAGTTATTGCCTACATTGCTGGTAAAAACAAGAACTGTCATAGCCTCTTTTTTTTCCCCCAAAGCAAAGTGGTGGCAACCTTCTGAAATAGTAAGTAGTAATCCCACCCTGGGAATCTATCTCATAGGTCATCAGAGTATAAAGATATTTGTTACAATATCAGTTTTATTGGCAAAAACTGGAAGCAAAGTACTACCTAACGGTAAGTTAATAGTTAGACTATGAAAATATCAAACTTTGAAATATTATGCAACAGTTGTTTGTTGTGTGTTTTTTTTTTAATGGATTAGAGCCGTAGCAGCTGTGTGGAAGGATTCCCCTTAGGCAGTACTGAATGATAAAAAAAAAAAAAAAAAAAAGTGAAAATAGTTTCCAAAAATTAATCACATTTTTGTAAACAGGGAACAAAAAAAAAAAAACTTATGTGCATGTGTGTTAATAATACTTCTGATGTGTAGAAAAATAGAAAGGGACACATAGTAGTTCTGATGACCTGGGTTATGGAGGAATAGAATGCTAGAGGAAGAAGGGGCTAGAGGAAGAAGGGCAGCTAAGTCAAAAAGACAGAAAGGAGTTCACTTAAAAAAAATGGAAATTTACAGTCTCTATGCACCTATACCTACTATTATCAGAGAGAGAGATTTGCAAACCCTACACAACAAGTAAGTTTATGCAAAACAAAGCTTATTTCCTACAGATCGAAAATTGTGTTCCTTTGAAAAACTAGGCCATTAAGTAATAATTCACATTTAAATACCATAAATGGGAGTGCCCTTCTAGTTAAATGGGATGCTGCTCCATTCATGAATTGTTCAACAGTCAATTATATCTTCAAAAGAAATTTAAAAATGCCATAAATACCTAGCTTTGAGTTGGTCATAAAAAGTAAAAAAGATAATGCCTTTAAAATGTATCATGTACATTCTAAGTATAATAAATGTGTGATATACATTTTTTGTAAGAGAAAAAAAACTTAGAAAAGCACATGTTTACATGGAAAAAGCTTTTCTGATAAAATTAAAAGCACTTAAAAGAGACTAAGACAAATCCAAACATATCCAGAGTATTATTTTTAGGTACATTAAAGATCTAAATGAAGAAAATAAACTAAACCAGAATATACTAATTATAGCCCTTACTTTGGGCTTAGCCGTGGTGCTTCTTCCGTAATCTGCCTATACCTTAGGACAAAGCCCATGTTTTATTTTCCTTTGTATTCTCAGCATATAGCACGAGCCCTGCTACACAGTAAGGGATGAACCATCTCCCTAACTTTCCTCAAAGAGTATGGATGCCTCTAATTGTGGTCTCTCCTAGGAAGGGTGAGGCTGGTACCTCTGGGCTGATATATGTGGGTGTTTTTTGTTTTTTGTTTTTAGTGCCTTTTTAAAGTACATTTAGAAAAGAGATAAATATTCATCCAAAAATATTCACTGAACCTCTCTTATAAGCCAGACAAGAAGACGGTGGCATCTCTTTTGTACAATGTAGACTTACTGGTTTATTAAGACTAAATAAAAGGTAGAAAGAGAGCAATGGAATGAGAATGTATTTGAGAAAAAAAAAATGTATTTTACCGGTGTTGGAAATCACTATTCTAGTTTTGATTTGGCCGCCTTCTTCACTTGACTTGTATATGCTCATCGATAACATGATAACATGTCTAATCCATTTTACAGGATTGTCAAGGTGAAACTAAAACCACTCTGTAAAACACCAAGCACTAAGCAATATTTTGTTGGCCCATACTTCTCAAGTATTCTAAACTGTCTTAATTACCAAGCTATTTATAAATAAAATACAACTGCTTCTGCCCAGAGCTTTGGTGTAGTCCCAATGTGCTCTAAAGAGAGCTCAGTGTACAATAAAATCCCATCAGTGCTCTTTAAAGATTTGCTTAAGAGTTCATTTCTTTCTTGTCACATAATCTCTCAAAATGAAATATTTCGTTAGCTTAAGTGTCCTGTATTTATACCCAAAGTAGAAAAGCTAATGCATACTCCAGAGACTATCATTCTTTAAATATCCAACCACTTTAATGTACAGACTTCTTTCTAAATACCCCTTCAAGCAACACCTCTGATAAACTACAATTGACTCTGACCTTCTGTAAAACTGATTGGTTTTCAAGTTTTTCCTTCCATTGTTCTTCTGAAATAAAAATTCTTATTCCTATATTCAAAGAATTTTGGTCGAGGGTAAAATTTCCATCATTTACAAATACAGTATAATACATCGAACCTCTTCAGCAATATGAAAAAAATTTCATTAGGTAGCATCGCATAAAGTATATTTTTAAAACTTTATTAATCAATCATTACTATATCTGTTTGGCCCAAATAAACCTTCTCTAAACTCATAATACTACATGGCCAATTTTTGGACCTATTTTTAGAAAAGAAAATTTTCTCATGATATGGCAAATGAGAGTTTACCAAAACACCATAAAGCTATCAGCTCTAAAAGATAACAGAAAAGGTGTGAAATCCCCACAGTTGCCAAAATATCTTTTTAATTTGCTTTCTTCCTCTTGCAGGTTTGCTATGCTTTCCTATAAAAAAGTAAACTTTTCCCATGAAGAACTTTTGCCATCTGTCTACTAAAACCATGAAACCTTTGGTCTCTTGGATAGTAGCAATTTTTTTCCCCATGCATTTTGTTTATACAACTTTTAACACTTGGTCCATTTATCACAAATTACTTTGTATTACAATTTTCTACATAAGTCTTGCCTCTTCTACTTGATTTTCAGCTCATTAATGATGATGTCCTACCCATTTTCTTATAGGATTCCAGATATATAGTAGGAGCTAAATAAGTATAGGTCAGATGGATAAGCAGGCATTTTAATATAAATGTTTCCTATTACTTTCATTATGCCTCTGACTGTAATAGCTTTATCAGACAGCAGAATGCATACTGGCCAGAATTTACTGGTCTACTATTACCACGATGGAATATCCTGTAGCAACCGCCTTCTAACATTTTTTGGATCAGGTCTCCTAGTTTGTTTTAGTACATATATCAGCAAACGTAGAACTGGCTTCTGTTTGGAAGTAAAAATTCCAGTCAATGTATTCTAGTAAATGTGCTGTGTCAACATAATCTACAAATAAAATAATACAGCCTGTAAACACAATATTTATCTGTATAATGCTGTCATTTTTTTGTCCTACTCTGTAATAAGACTTAACTGGAATATCACCTGAAGGCTGGAGGGAGGTAACAGTAACACAGCTGAGGCTTTCCAGTATTCAAATTTCCCCTTTAAAACCAACTGGCTATTGACCATGATGGCATAACTTTGGTGAAAATCAGTTTCCATCTCTATAAAATAGAAACTACAGTATCATACATATGTATGCAATAAATATTATTTAATAAATAAAGGTGAGAGTCTTTACATATATAAAACGCACTCTTGAAAACCTGTTTCAAATCTCAAATATGTTTAAGTCAAGGGATCAGACAGGTTTTAAAGGAGACGCATTCCCAGAGACAAAAGAAAAATTACAAAATCTGTATTACACACAATCTATTAAATACTGGCATTAAATACAAATGTATAGCATTTTGTGTGGTGTGTAATCTTATTATTTTTCACAATTTATCAGCTTAACTCCATTAAACATTTTCAATATTCACCACTTTTCAGCACATCGAATGATTTGTTTCAACTGTGTATCAAGATAATATACCCTGTTTGTCATAACTAAAAGAGGCACTTTCATTTTCCCTCTCTTCTATTTATTTTGCTAATGAAAGGCTAAAAAGCTGTAAAAT